ATGTCATGCTTGGTAGGGTGGAGGGTGGACGAAAGAGGGAGAGACCTTCAACGAGATGGATTGACACGGTGGCTGCGATGATGGGCTCAAGTATAGCAGGGGTAGTGGAGCTGGCACGGGATCAGGCAGTGTTTCGTTCTGCTGTGCATGGGGTCACTATGAGTTGGAAACAACTCGACGGCACCTAACAAGAACAAATGTGCTTTACAACTGTACTTTAGTTAACTATATTTTTATTAGAATATTTAGGATTTTAATTATATACAATACTATCATAAAGATCTCTGCATAAAACTTTTGCAGTGTTTAAAATAATGTATTTAGGATGAATTCCCAGAAATAGAATTACTAAATTAAAAAAATCAGATTTAAAATGCCTAGACATTCCTGTCAAATTGCTTTCTGAAAAGATTTTGCCAATGTAGTGAACAGAGTATCATATCTTTCTGTGTATGTGGTAAAATATATATGACATAACATTTACCAGTACAATTCACTGATACTAATTATATTCACAGTGTTGTGCAAACCTCACCACTATCTTTTTCCATCACTTTTCATCACCCCAAACAGCAACTCTGTGCTAATTAAGCAGTAACTTCCTGTGGTGGTGAAGTTTGTACATCACCATAGCTGGGTCTGGTTGAGTGGCTGGGCAGCTGAATGTAGTTATTCCCCATGGTAAGATTGGCAATTAACTGCATGGTGGAATGTATTGGAGTATCTGAGTAGCTGCTTTAGGGATGTGGTCTGCTTCCCGTATATAAGCAGCAGCTTTGAGAGTGGTCTCTAGCTTATGGCACGTTTGAACCCTGCATGTAGCCAAGTCGTTGTTCAACAGCCTGCCATGCTTCGCTGACTTAGGGACTTTCAATGGACTTGAATTAATGGCCTGGCTATGTGGTTTGGTAATAGAGGATTGTCTGTGCCTTGTCACTTGTCAACTTTGGGTTTGTCAGCCTCTAGCAGCCAGCAGCTGAGTGAAGAAAAGCCTCCAGCTTCAGTGGGCTGGGAGCAGAAGGCAGGCCCAAGGTTGAGGGGTTTTCACCCAGCCCCTAGTGCGTGGCAGTTTGTACTCAGATTTAAAGCCTCCAAAACTGTAAGAGAATAAACTCTTGTTTCTTCAAGCCATCCCATTTGTGGTATATTCTTGTCCGAGCTTCACTAGGTAACCAGAACACTCCATGTTCTTTTTTCATTCACCCCCACCCCCTGGTAACCTCTAATCTACTTTCTTTCCCTATAAATTTGTCTATACTGCTTATCTCATATAAGTGGAACCATACAATGTTTTTCTCCTTTTATATCCAGCTTGTTTCACTTACTGTAATATTTTTAAGATTCACCCATACTGGAGAATATCATATATCAGAACTTCATTTCTCCTTGTGACGAAATAATATTCTATTGTATGTATGTATGTATGTATGTATCAGATTTTGTTTATTCATTCATCTGTTGATGGACATTACAGTTATTTCCACCTTTTGGCTATTGTGAGTAATGCAGTCAACACTGGCGCACAAGTATCTGCTTGAGTCACTGCTTTCAATTCTTCTAAGTATATCCTAGGGATGGAATTGCTGAGTCATGTGATAATTTAACTTTTTAAGGAAGCACAAGATTGTTTTCCACAGCAGTTGCACCATTTTACATTCCTAGCAGCAATGCAGGAGGGTTCCACTCTCTATACATTTTGCCAACACTTGTTATTTTCCATTTTTGTTTGTTTGTTCTGTTTTAAAATAGCCACCCTAATGAGAGTTAAGTGGTGAAGACTCATCTTTTAAAAAAAAAAAATCTATATTTAATTTGATTAGATTTAATGTAAATGATTACATTTCTTTTTAAAATGTTCTTTACCCAAACTGTGTTGGGATCTTGACGTTAAGAGATATAATCATTTTAATGAAGTATTGTTTTCTTTTATTTTGTAGCCAAAGAAACTCTACCTGATTTGGTTTCCATAATTCCTGACACACTTCCAACTACTGACCTTCTCACTGAGACTACAGCCTCTGCCTGTTATACATTGAACAATATAATTCAAAATAGTTACCAGAATGCACGGGATCTTCTAAACACTGGGGGCCTCCAGAAAATTATGACCATCAGCGCAGGCGATGCGTAAGTCCTTTAGCATCTGCCTATCAGTTTCCTCACCTTTCCCTAGCATCACTCTTGAGTTTGGTAATTTGGCCAAAAACAAGATCATAAAGCTGGGCCACATCATCTGGTCTAGTCCTAGGAAATGTGAAAAACTGAATCATCCAAGTTATATAGTTGTTCATTATCTTTTAAAATATCAAGAGATGTTCAAACTTTATACCTTCTCATGGCATTCCAGCACTTTATTGTTCTAAGAAATTAATTTGTTCCCTAGAGCCACAGCTGTCATTTATGAGCAGCAAATTGTAGGCAAGTTGGGAGTCTTATGGACAGGGAATTTCCTTTTCCTCTCATAAATATGTGCAGCCAGTATCACACTAGGCAGTTTAGAAGAAAGGAGTGATAGCAAAAGGAGAAATGGCTGGTAGCATAGCAAATTCTTGCTTTCTCAGTTTTCTCTATACCTTTTATTCTTTTCTGAGAATAACTCTAATGCATATTAGTCATCCCGTACCCATTTCTGTGTTTTTAAAGTTTCTTTATTTAAAAAACAAAAAGTTAAGAGCATGTAAAAACTTTGTATGACCAGATTATTAATATTAATAATTAGTGAATTAATAATATTAGTGAATTTAGAATGATGGGGTTGAAGGGGGCATGAAAAGTGTTATCTTTATATACTAAACTCTGAATTGTTTGACTTAATATAAACAAATTATTTTTTGTCAGTAACCAAAAGGAAAGAAATGTTATTTCAGCACAATACTAAGGAGTTGCAAAGCAAACAGACATCACTTGTAGCAGACAAGCATGTGCTTGGCTGTACAGGGTGTGACTGGGGGCCAATGGTATCATTGAATGGGCACTCATTGCTTCCACCACAGCCCTCCCGGCTGAGGCTCCTTGTGCTCTACAGCGCACACCCCTGGCAAAGTCGGAAGGTCACATTCAGAGCCATGATGAAATGAGAGCTGGCTAGAATGTCAGTTTCCCAAGCAAGGAATATTTACCGGTCCCTACAGCCCAGTGAATAGCAGTTGCTCAGCAGTTGTGGGGAGAATGAATTATTGGTGCAAAACAGAAATGACTGTTTCAAGTAGTTACCCAAACTTCTGATAAAATCTCCATAAGACAATATGATTTTGATTATTTGGGTATTCAAATGTAAGAAGCACTGAGAAATACACCAATGCTTTTGGAAATTGCTTGTAGGAGCAATGGATGGGAATATGTTGCTGTGTGGCTTGTAAACAAATTTTATTAATATAACACTCTTGCAATTTAAGAACTTTTCCCGGTTTTAAATCTTATAGACATAGCTTTCCTAGATTTATTTGTACTTCGGTTATTAGCAGACAACTTACAAAAGTCCATAGGTTCTATGAGGTGCCGATCTGGTGGCATAATTCCTAAAGCATTTGACTGCTAACCAGAAGGCTGGCAGTTCAAACCTGCCAGCCACTCTGTAGAAGAAACACCGAGCAACCTACTTCTGTAAAGATTTATCATCTCGGAAACCCAGAGTGGGTCGCTATGAGTCAGAATTGACTCAATGGCAGCAAGTTGGATAGTTGGATTGGCCAAGCTGGTATGGTAGAAAATGACTTAGCTGATGAACATGCTAATAGCCAGTTGCCTAACGTGCACTTCTCTGGACAGCTTTGCATACTTCTATTCTTAGTTACAGATTTCTAGATTCCTGTGATAAGTGGCAGTGGGGGAGCTTTGTTTCTTTAAATTTTTAAAAAAATCAGCTATGTGCTACTTCAGATCATAAAAGAGTAATAGAAGATATCTAAGAAATCATTGATCCTTAGCCAGAAAGTAGAAGTTTGTGATAAATTTAAAAGCAGAATGTAGAAACCTAAACACAACATTAAATTCATTGGCAACTTGGATTAAGAGCAGGAAAAGGAACAAATTTTTTATTTGTTCTACATAAAAACGTGAAGTGATTTTAAAAAACTTTTAATGAGTTCTCCAAAAAGAATTTATTTAAATAACTTTAAAAAATTACTCCTATATTCATAGTAACTAAATGTAAGAGGCATGTATCTTTTCAGTCATACTTTCCTGCATTTTTTGAAGAAAATTGTATTCTATAAATTTGAGAATTTGTAAATGTCTAAAGATGTAATGTATTCCTTATAAATATCAAGGGTTTATTCTATAAACTGTTATTAGTTCTGTGCTAGAAATTTGAAAAGAGATAACACACGGTCCCTGCCCGCTGAAGCTCACCATCTAATTCCCTTTCCACAGTGAGGGGCATGACTTAGCGGATGGCTACTGAGCAGCTCCAGTCAAAGATTTATGTAACAGCCCAGTGCTGTTTCCACAAGCCTCACCTTGTTTCACTGATCTCAGAATGTCCTTTTCTTCTTTTCAGCTATACCCTCAACAAAGCAAGTAAAGCTGCTTCTGTTCTGCTGTATTCTCTGTGGACACACACTGAACTCCACAATTCCTACAAAAAGGTAAGAATGCTAAAAAGGAATGTGTTATAGTTAACAGAACCAGGTTATAATAGCCTGGTTGACTTGACACTTGTGAGAAATCATTTAAAAAAAAAAAAAACTGCATTTTTTTGTTTGAAAATTTTATTGCCTTTCACATTTCTATTTGCTTATTCCAAAGGCTCAGTTTAAGAAGACAGATTTTGTCAACAGCCGGACTGCCAAAGCCTACCACTCCCTTAAAGACTGAGGAAACTGAAAAAGTGCTCTCAAAAGTATCAGCCTCTCCATTCTTGGCTACAAAAACCCCAAAGGAAAACACCTATTTTTCTACTACCCAGTGCAAGAAACCTCAAAAAGGCATGCCCTGTTTCTATCTTTTTCTATTTCCATGGTCCCCAGAATCAGAACATAATTGTATTAGTCTTCCAGAAGACTTTGGCAAGCTTGCCACCAGTAAACACTGGAAACAGGTTCTACTTTACGCTCTACGAATAGTGATCTTTGTTTTCAGGGGTTATGGTGCATGGCCTCCTGGAACCAGAATGTGAATTCAGTTGGAATGGACATTAATGGAGTGAATGAGGAAAGAGGCTGTAGTGTTACTAGGATTTTAGCAGTTTCATTTACATTTCTATTCCTCTTCTGATTTCCATGTTTTACCACTCATATGCACGTTGCTTTATCACTGAGCCACGAGTGTATTTTTCTGCTGTGTTGAAACGATGGAAATAAGAAATATTTGCAGTAACCCAGGAGAAAATATAATGGCAAAGTTGTTGTTTGTTTACTTTGTGCTTGTTCATATCCTCTTGGATTTTTTTTTTTAATCTGGTTTTAATGTACTTAAGAAATTTAGGTCACAGAGCATGCGTGATTGTAAGAAAATGTAAGAAGAAGTGATAATAACAAATTTTAAAATTTTTCCACAGAGAAAGCAACCATTGTTATGAAATTCATTGTTCCCCCTAAACATTGAATAAATGGATTTTTTTATCCAAGGAAATACTTTATGTATAACAATATCATTAAATGCAAACTTCTCAACAGTGGCATTCAATGCAGTCTATTTTGTGGGCTTTTTCAGCTTCTGCACTGCTAAATCTCTTTAGCAACAGGGGAAAACAAGGCTTTTTCACAGACTGCTGGATCAGCCCAGGCACTGAAAGCACAGCTCATTTTAATGAGGATAGCTCTGGTAGCATAGTGCCTGAGGCAATTGACTGCTAACCAGAATGCTGGTGGTTCAAACTCACCAGCCACTCCTTGGAAGAAAGGTTGGGCAACCTGCTTCCATAGTGATACTGCCTCGGCAACCCAAGGAGGGGTCGCTATGAGTCGGGTCTGACTTGACGGCACATAACAACAACAACATTATCAACAAGCTCAACTTTGTTCAACATTTAACAAATAGCATGGAGCCACTAAACCTCATGATTCTTTAGCTATTATTTTAAGTCAAGGAAACCCTAGAAAAGTGAAGTAAAGAAGTCTATTGAGGAAGGATGTGCCTGGGCCATCCAGAAATAATATGAAAATTTTTCTCATGTTTAAAAGATGACATCATTTATTGAAGAAAATCTATATTGTGTTATTTTAACTATCATTGAAACCATTCATATAGAATGGCTTCTCAACTAAAATTGTTATACACTGAAAACTGTCAGAGCCAGAACTTGATGGAACTGCCTTGTCTTTCTGGGTCTCTCAAGTTTACCATATTTGATAGGTGTGTCTTACCACATTTCCATCCTTCTCTATTAGTGGAAAATAGTTGAGTTTTCCTTCTCTGACACTTTTCTCCCGTACACATGTTCTGGCTTTTGTTGGTTCCATGGTATTTTGCCTTTTTTTTTCTTTCTTTTTTTTTAATCTGAAGATGTTTGTCATAAGAGAGCAAGGTAAGGAGTAACACTGTAACTCCAGAAAGAAATAGAATAGAAAAGCAATTCCTATTTCCAGTTTGAATGTGCACTTAATTCCTTATTATATTTGGAACTTAAAAATTTTTCAAGTTTTAAAGCTCAGTGGAAAATAACTAACTAACCTGAGTCAAGATGAAATTATAATGTGTTTTAGATACTGATTTTTTAAATGCCAGAGAGAAGCAATCTCTCTTTTCTAGAGTTCTAACGGTACAAATTTGGAGTATATTTTTTTCTCCAGATAACTGATTTATGTTAAAGATATTTGTGTTTTCTTAAAGCATTAATAGAACCTTCAATAATATTAAACACAAAATTAGGCAAAAATAATGTTGCCTGCATTGGTATCTGTATATCTGAGTTTTTGGTGCGTATCTTGGTATATGTGATATAATTGACACGACATTTGAGAATTTGACTTTGTAAACTTCACCTTCAATTACTAATGGTTTAATATTTCTTGATTACTTTTATTTCTTTCCTAAGTCCTACACTCTTTACCAGGAAGCATGTCCTGTAAGAAAGACAGAACTAGCAAGTGACTCAAACCAAAACCAAACTCATTGCCATTGAATCAATTCCAATTCATACTGACCCCTATTCCCATTGGGTTTCCAAGGCTATAAATCTTTATGGAAGCTGACTGCCTCATCTTTCTTCCATGGAGCAGCTGGTGGGTTTGAACCACTGACTTTTTGGTTAGCAACCAAATGCCTTAACCACTGTACTACCAGAGCTTCAAGTGACAAGAGCATATAAAAATGGAGAGACATACAAATGTATTAGCTATTGTTAGATTTTAGCAAATTAAGCACATCTGTGACCATGAAAACATAGATAAGGAAAGATACTTATGAAGAGATAGACTATGTTTGAATCCCATGTCCTGCTTTGTCCACTCTACAAAAACTCACTATTTTACAATTTCTAACATCTCTGAGAGAGATTCTTGTGTAGATGAATATCAGTTCTGATTATAGGTCTTTTCCTTCTATATGTTCCAAATTATGCTCATGCCATCAAAGGAGCAGACAAGCCAGGGTGAACCTTTTTGTTTATTTGTGCTAAGGTTTCCAAAGGATTTCTATTGCATCAGAAAGAATTCTTAGTTGTCTTCTGGAATATGGGATGTTGCTGGCCTGGATTTCTATCACTAGTGACATTTGTTTATTCCTGATGGAAATACTCAAAGGGTTATCTGAGGAGATAGAGGGGGATTAATGTGTCAAGTGACATAAGCCGCAGGAGTAGATCAACTACTTTAAAGCCAATTTAATCATCCTCTGAAGAAGTGATTCCTTAAAAGACAACAGAAGATGGGAATAATTTATCATTTTAAATAAATTTTATAAATGATAGTTCCTTTAAATGTGTAATGAACTGTCTGTGTTGGAACAAGAAAGACTTTAGTATTTGTGTACTTGGAACATGTGTGCAGAAGCAGCCTCTACTTAGAATCTCAGGATTAGTAGGGAATTTAGAGAGCATATGGTCAAGTCCTCAAAGTGTCTTGTCAAAAGAGACTTAGTTATTAAAGTGACAAGGAAGGACAGTATGCAGTCAGTCATTCAGCATTGTCCAACGTGACCCTATATCTGGCCTATCTTAAGACACAGTAACTGTTACATTAAAGTATTTCCATGGAAGAGAAAACAGGTAAAAAAGGAAATACTAAACTTTCCAAAATAAAATTCTACATTTAAAATTTAATGTTTTAGTTTATAATGGCACAGTATCATCTCCTATCAAATAAACTTCAGCCTTTTAAGGATTGTAAGAAAGAGGAAAAACTTTTCTATGATATTATATTCAGAAAAGAAGAATCAAAATGCAACACATTGACCTAAGAACTGTTTCAAATCTAGGCAAAATAGGAGGGGTTCTGAATCCCATAGTATGTGCAACTCAAAGAATCACCAAGATTTAGTCTGAATAAGGAATGCCATATTAACTTATCTTTAAATTTTGAAACACTGTACTCCTCGGAAAGAAGGTTGGACAATCTACTTTCCATAGTGATACTGCCTGGGAAACCCAAGGAGGGGTCGCTATGAGTCGGGTCCAACTTGAGGGCACATAACAACAACAGCATTCTGTAGAAGATAACAGTCTAATTCTGTCATTGTATACAGGATAGAACCAAGGTCAAGTAGATGGAGGCTGTGGCATGACTAGCTTTGATTTGATAATAACCCCTACTGCCATCAAGTCAATTTTCACTCATAGCAACCCTATAGGACAGAGTAGAACTGCCTCGTAGGCTTTTCAAGACTATAAATTTTTATGGAAACGAACTGCCTTATCCTTTTGCAGAGCAGCTGGTGGGTTCAAACCATTGACTTTTTGGTTAGCAGATGAACGCTTTAACCACTGCAGCACCAGAGCTCCTTTGGTAGATAATAGTGGCCATCTATTGAGACTTAGCAGGCCAAGCCCTATTGTGAGTACTTTACATACAGTCCTTATTGAATTCTCACAGTCTCCTTGTGAAGTATATATTTTTTTCTTTTTGACATTTGTGTGTGGAACAAACCAACTTTTCCAAGTCACATAGCTAGAAATGGCTGAGAGAACACATGAATCCAAGTGGTCTGGCTCCAGAACTGTGTTTAACCACTTTTTTTCCTTTGAGGGTGGGGAGGGGAATGAGGGTGGGGAAGCTGACAACCAGGAATGAAAAGCGCATGTATCCATGTTGGATGAAGTGTAGTGATCCTCTTAGGAGAGCAAAGAGGGGACAGTATGGCATAATGACTAAGAGGTCTAGTTCTAGAGCCAGCCAACGTAAGCTCAGATTGTGGCCTCTCTACTTCCTAACTTAGGTAAATTTCTTATTCTCATTGAGCCTCAGCTTTCTTTATGTGTAATATGTAAATTATAATTCTTCACTGAGTTATTTAGAGTATGAAATATTTTAATAAATACAAAGCACTTAAAACAGTACTTGAAAGAGTTAATATTCAATCATTCCTAACTATAATTTTAGAGTTCTCTGGTGTTGACATTTTTGCTTTTCTTTAATACACTCTTTGAATATCTCTTTTCTGGTATGTCTGATTCCGTTAAAAGCCCCAAATTCTCCCCTGACTCCAACTTTACACAGACACACAGACCACCTCCTTTAGAAGGCCAGAATGAAGAAAACAAGTATGATCCACGCAAGTGATGCTGAATGCCTCTTCCTCAGAACACAAGGCCATTGAGGGTATTTATAAGTGTTATGTGAAAAGAAATTTTTAGAAAGGTTGAGTTGAACAGTTTGAAAATTCTTGACTGCAGGACTTCTCAGAGCCCCTAAAACATTAATGTGCTCTGTGAATCTCTATCCAAGAATGGATGGCATGTACTACATGACTCAAACCTTTTCTTTGAATCAATAAAACCATTTTTTCTTATATGACTCAAAACTATGCTTCTGTGGTATATGCTTTGACCAGCAGTGATCTAAGCCATAGTCAGGAGGGTAAATGGTATTTATCTTGTTCACAGTCCAGTTCAC